CTCTCTCTCTCTCTCTCTCTCTCTCTCTCTCTCTCTCTCTATATATATATATATATATATACAGGGGTAGAAATTAACTTTTGAATACGGGAGTACAACGGACTCGCTACCCTAAAAAAAAGGGGAGTCCGCAGCAAAATGTGGGAGTCCGCAATCTGGGGTTCAAAATGAAAGATATTAACAATAACGCATGTGCTTATTTTTAAGATTCATATGATGCGGTTGCACGTCTGCCAAATTTTCTTTGGACATTAGCTGAAAAAATGCGGTAACTCCGCGAGGCTAGTTAGTATGGCAGAATTTTCAGGGAGTCGCACGGACTCCTGTATATGTCAAATCAGGGAGTCCGACAGTAAATCAGGGAGTATTTGACTAACGTTAATTTCGCACCCTGGATATATATAGGTGGTACTTAGTTATGCTGAGAGGGTCTATGTCCCCCAGGGTACTGCCGGAACGTACCTGGTACCCTGGTATGCTCTGCTGGTACTATCTAATATGCCGGACCGTACCTCGCCTACTCCACTAACGAGTCTAGGGAGTCGCCTACGCCTACTCCCTAACCCTAACCCTAACCATATCAGTTAGTCACCAGGGTACGTTCCGAATCCGGTATACCGGACCGTACCCAGGGTACGTTCCGGCAGTACCCTGGGGGACATAGACCCTATGAGCGTTAGTTATGGTGGTAATACTAGCTCTTGATTAGATATAGTGTGACTGACCGACCGACCGACCGAAACCTTTTTACAAATAATATATAGGGAGAGAGAAAGAGAGAGAGAGATAGAGAGCGAGCGAGAGTGGAGATAGTAGCCGCGTATATATATAGATACATGTACGAGAGAGATATATGTACGGTGTTCGTACAGAGGGGGCAAAGTATATATTATATCATCATTCCACCAGCAGCACCCGGGTAGGGGTTGCCAGCTCAGCGGTTATTAGTGATGTCACGATCATCGATTATACTCGATCATGGGTTGAACAGTGGCTCGAACCAAGCGCTTAGTGATGTCACGATCATCGATTATACTCGATCATCGGTTGAACAGTGGCTCGAACCAAGCGCTTGGTTATCAAAATCCATAATCGATTTCATCGAGAAAAAAAAAATACATAAAAAAAAATCGAAATAAATGTAAAACTTGAACAAGAAAACTTGGAAAA